TGAAGACATTTTTTGCGTCATTGTGCTTGGTCAAGAATTTCTCTCCCACGAAGCGTCAAGGTGCGTGAGAAGGTTAGAATCGGTAGGCAAGAATCTGATGAATATGGCGGATGAGGAAATGTTTTATAGCTCAACTCGTTCAATTTTTACAGCGCTAGTTCGGCAGCGTGAGGCCGGCTGTTGTCGTGGAGAAGGACTGATTCTCTTCTTTTGACTAATACCGGTTGTTGTTCTTGGAGTTTACGGTGCACATTGTCGATTTGTTGGCAACACTTCTCTGCCGTAATCTTTTCGCCGGATTCAATAAGCTGGGATGAATGAGCCCTGCTGAAGCCCACTAAAAAGTCACCATAACCTTTTTGCGGTGCAATTTCGGCTTTGGGAAGTACTGTGGAGCCTGATCGCAATCCAACCATTAAGCTGAACGACTCCGGTTGTCGTACAGAATCCACTTCTCATCGCACATCACAATTCGATTAAGAAAAGGGTTATTTTTTTTTGAGAAAAATAAGAGCAGACGACACTTCGAAACAGAAATTTATTTGATTATCGTTTAATTCGTGCGGCACCCACTTGTCGAGCTTTTTCGTCTTTCCTGTGCGATTCAAGTGAGCGGAAAATGTTTTTGTGCTTACGCTAAGCTGTTCTGCAAGCTCTCGAACAGTGGTTCGCGTTTTTGTTTCCATTAGTGCCTTCAATCGCAACCGTCAAACTCGTTGGGACGTCCGTGACCTTCCCTATCTTCGAGGTCGAAATCATCAGATCGGAATTTCCGGAGCCATGTTCGCACTGTTGATTCACCAACACTCCCTTTACTCCAAACTTTCACTGTTCCATTCATACAAAAAGGTACACGAATATCACGTCTATTCATACCAAAATTAAAGCCTATAAAATTGTTAAAATAATAAACTTTGAAAAAATGTTAGATATAAAAAGGGCATACACCTGTGGTCGTGGGAGTTACTTAAAAAGGGCATATTTTGTTTCTTAAAAAATATATATTAAACGTACGCAAAAAAACAAATTTTTACTTAAAAAATTACACGGAAAATCAAGACATTAAAACCGGACATTTCATATGTACCGACCTAATACATCCTGTGAAGACGTGGTCGGTTTCCGTTTGACGTTCCGTTAGGTGATTCTCTATTCTCGGGCCAACATTCCCTGGTCTCGATAAATGAGCTTTATTCTTTTTGATGCGTGGGTTGCGCACTTAGAATGGGCAGGGAAGCTAAATAAATTTTGTATGAGGAACTGAAGCGGAAGGATTGTCGTGTAACTTAGTATGACTAGCGGACTTATGATGGAGGTAATAATTAGCGCTGTTCTTTTGTTATAGATGCGAAGTAAAAAATTATCTCTATCACGTGCTGTGATGTCAGTTTTCTATGATATCCTGTAACTGACACTGATCGCTTTTCGTAGGTTTGAACGCCAAGTGGTACCGCTCCACATGAGGAATGTTGAGGTTGCCAGCAGTCTAAAGCAGATCTTGTGAGGGCGCTCTAAGATCGTCAACGCAAGCAAGTCCCTGGACTCTGAAGATAGGAGGGTTTCGTTGGACATATATAGGTATGAAAAATGATAAAGAGCACAGCAAGCTCTCAATAACGATGTAACAAGCCGAATATTAAATAAAATGAGAGCGCCTGTTGTCATAAAACAAGCAGAAATGGTGTTTTCCTATTAATATTGGTTGTAGCAGACATTTTACTTACTAGATGTCTTTCTCGTTCAATTTTTGAACAATTACTTTTCCGCTGCATTCAAGAAGTCTCTCTGGATGATTACGTTTCCAGAACACCAAACAAGTCAAAGTCCCTTCTGATACACTTTGGACCAACAATATAATGTTTCTACCTTCGCCCAATCTTGTTCATTATTTCTTTGCCTAGAAAGGATAAAAGCTCACGACGTCTTCACAAGCTGTGCAGAAACCGGTATTCATCAACAGTACGTCACAGCGAGGTAAAATGTAAACGTAAAAAAAGATAAAGCTCTCGGCTTTGATCAATCCCTGAAGGAAGGCACAATGCATTCGACTTCATTAAGAATCGTTGGAGGTAACTGAATGATTATCTGGCCTTTTACAATGACTCGCGGTGGCCTACCGATCTGTTGATCCGGTGCTACTACCCTCCTAGACAAGTTTGGTACCAATTTGCCAACCCTGGAGGGATGGAAGGCTTGGTGGGCCATGGGCACGGAGATCGATTCCACGTGTGTGTCGCAGTAGCGCCTCCAGCCATTGCGCCATACGCGCCCAAGTATGAAGGCAGAAAAAACCTTGGCAAAACGTCAGGACATTTTTCAACTAAAATTATCTGCTGAAAACAGCTTACTGGGTTAATAGGCGGTGGTAACATTCGTGCAGTTTTATGTACCTGAAACAGTTTTAATTCGCTCTATTGCACTTTAGTTGACAACCGATCATAATTTGAAGAAAGAAATTGTAAACGTTGTTGTAGATTTCTTCGAGTAAGGCTTTTCTTAACTGGAAAGAATACCGAAAAAAAAGTTCATCGACGTTTGTAAACCTCAAGGAAACTTCATTAACGCGAGTTCACTTGAAGACACACAAAACCCATCTTCTTGCTCGTCACATCTTCCAACACCAACGAAATCGACGCTGTTAGAAACTGGAAAGAACGTAAACGTATATAAGTTAGAAAATCCGCACGAATATGAAGTTTCTAACGTTTTTGGAATATTTTCTTTTAAGGAGTTTACATTAAATCTGGCTGACTTACAATGGAAATAAATCCTATAATGGATGAAAGGTTATGTTTGTTCCATAATCATTGAAATCCAAAAAAAAATAAAACAAAAATTTCGCTGTTCACTTTGACAAAGTTCAGCGGCAAACTAGGGCATCACTTGTGTTCGCACTCGACATGCAATCGACATAAACTGCGCTTCATTCCACAACCGTACAGTAACCCAAGGATTTAAGCTTTTTCGTCTAGTGACAGCCTATCCTGAGTAGTTTCATTGCCCTCAGTCTTTACCCACACTTCTACTATAATATCTAGGTGAATGATAAAAACTTTAACTTGCTTAATGATTTGGATTTTTCTTCACGACATCGGAATTTATTCGGGCATCTTGGTAGTCGAAAGAGAATAGTCCAGTGAAAAACCACTCATCAGATAAATGGAGCGATGGCTAAGTGCTAAAAAAGATGATGTTGATGAAATCTGCGCTTTTTATGCTCAGTGGGCGGACTCGCATTCGTCATTGATGGAATGTCGAACACCCTCCACCTCCTCCTTTCTCACACATACAAACCGTCTTTGTTAACATCTGCTGTGCAGATTTCAGCACTTCTTGCATTCAATTCGTTTCCTCTCGTCCATCATCCATAAAGGTCTTCGGACTTTTCGCGTGTATGCTGGGCTTCTGCTTTTGGATTCTCATGTTCTTCGTGAATGTCAGTGGATGACTCCTGAGTCGATTCATCCTGGGCTCCTCAGACATTTGTGATAGAAAGTTTCCAGATAAATGTTATAAAGAGAACCGTTTTAAGACAAATCAGCAGTCAATTTTCCAACCCCCGACGATGAGAGACTTGCTAAGCTAGGGATGGGGTTGACAATGGGCTCATGATAAAAGGCACTACTATCCATCGACCACCCTTAGTGAAGACATGGAGATGCTCTGCTGTAGATATTCCGGGATTCTAAAGGTTGTCCAAATAATCATCATTAACCAATATTCAGGAAGACGACAAAAGTTATCAAATGGTAGTCGAGCCCACATGCAAAATCCTAGGGTAGATAACGGATGTGGTGAAACGAACCGAGTGAGGAATTGCTGGGAACTGCGCGACGTGTGTATTTCATTACATTCTCAAGGTAGAAACACATTTTCGCTTTTACATAGTCTTTGGAACTACATTTATTTCCCAATACGCAATCTGTTGGGAACTGCTTCTTTGTTAGTCTGCTCCAGTCTCACGGTTCGGTATCATCACGTGAAGAGGAACGGTGAAATATTTCTTTTTTGAAGTTTTCTTCAATTTTCACGTAGTTTTATAGACGCAGAAACGAGAGGACGAGATTTATTCCCTTAATGTTAAGGTTTCGTCAGAGGCTGGTGTCGATCCAGTGTAGTTATTCGTTGGGGTAGAGCTTAACCTAGTTTTACTGCGGTTTAGGATCGAATATTTACTTGCTTTGTATCCTTTTATAATGCTTTTGTACAAGCCTCTCATCTCTATTCACGTTTTTGGTGTCATCTGTTTTTTTGTGCACCTATATTTCGGTCTAAGTAACTTTATTGATATCGTTTAAAAACGAACGAAAGACAGCGAGTTGCAGTAGGTTCGGAGGTATTGCTTTATTCAAGGTTTCTTTTAAAAAAGACATAGTCACAATTAAAAAATCTGATTATGCATTCTGCTCTGATTTGGGGTGTCCTCTGCTGAGATAAAATGCATTTATGTATGCTCACTGAGAGATCTCAACAATGGGATATTGACTTGACCATCCATCGATTGATTGATTGATGGTTTGATTGGATAGACAGACTGATTGTTTCCCAAAACCGACTTTCTGTTAACCTCGGCATTAATTGATAATTCAATGCTTTCCTTCAATAAGCAGACACGAGGTTGTTAATATAGAATTTATTAGAATACAATAGCTGACATTTCGGCGGTTTCGCCTTCTTCAGAGCCGTTTAAATAGCTGATAAACGGCTCTGAAGAAGGCGAAACCGCCGAAATGTCAGAAATGTATTGTATTTTAATATATCCTATATTAGCAACCTCGCGTCTGCTTATTGAAGGAAAACATTGACTGATCGATTGTTTGTCTGAGGTAAAAAGTATTTCATCCCAGAGTTGCGATTTGAATTTTTTAAAATTACTCGCCGACATTATGAACAGTAACACTGTACGTGAATGTCCTATAAACTTCATCAACGCATGGACCACTCTATGAAGAACTTATGACTCACATGCTCTATGCAATGATGAGGTTTTGTTTCAGGGAATGACCAGTCTAACTGATGTGGATTTAGTACGGTGTATTGTTATCGGCGATGAAAAATCCGGTAAAGAACTGATGATGATGAAATACGCTTCGTTTACCGGAGTACGGTATAACGCCGAAGTTAGTGAACTTCATATTTCGTTTACTTCAGTTTTTTTTCCATTTTCGGCCAATATAATAACCAATCGGGCGCGTGTGGCGCAGTGGTCGGAGGCGCCCTGGTATATAAATGTGGAATCGATCCCCGCGCCCATGGTTCACCAAGCCTTCCATCTTTCGGGTTCGACAAATGGGTACAACACTTGTTTGGGAGGATAGCAACACTGGCTCGATACATCAGTAGGCCACCGCCAGTCTTTGTGAAGACCAAATATGCATTCAATCACCTCCGAACGATGCTTAATGAAGTCGAATGCACGGCGCAATCCCTCAGAGATTGATCAGCACCGAAAGCTTTTTTTTGTTCTGTACAAAATCCTACCGGTAGTCGGTGGCCATTGGTCTCATTGGTTGGTTCAAAACAAACATCATTGGGAAAACTTTTCAGGTGTCAAATTCACTTCTTGCTTGTTGGACTTTCGGGGATTTGACTTCTTCAAAATAGCTAAGATTCACTGAAAATCAGACCACCACTTCTATAAAGCTCTACCCTAACTGTCCAATATATCCTTTTTGCAATCTTGAAAAACACAGTGGACCAATTTGATCAATTAGCTATTGGCTAATATCGAGGACATCACCCCATACGAATTCTACTTCTCAACTTTATGACGTTCTCTTGTTGTTCGGAATGTTGATTTTTATTTATCGCGTTTTAGAAGTGTTCACGGCAGGGTATTATTTGAAAAGCAACCACAGTGATACTGAGATATTTGAAAACTCCGGATCGCCAGTGTCTGCGGTGGGGAGCGAACGCGCTGTTACCCTTTTCGGAGGGTAACGCGTTCACCACCACACTATGCATGCCCTCTATTTCGCCTGTCTCTCGATCACTGCTATGAGCAATACTGCGTTCAATGCCGATTTGGGCTCTCCAGATCAATCCCGTTGACAGGTGATTGCTGATGGCAGTGATCGATCGAACTAGCTAAGAGACAGGCGAAACGAAGAACCAGGATGGTGCGGTGGTGAACGCGTTAGTCTCTGGAAAGGACAATAACGCGTTCGTTCCCCACCGCGGACACTTGCGGTCCGGAGTTTTGCAAATATCTCAGCATCACTATGGTTGTTTCTTTGTTGCATTTGCTTACAGTTATGATTTTAACTTATATGGTTTAGCGTAAAGAGATTGTTACCGCTTTCAACGGCAGTGAGTGTGTTATTGTTGATTCGCCTCGGATCATCGACACTGACGCCGACGAACCCCATGTCTTCCTTCTTTGCGTTTCAGTGGCCAGCAGGACGAGTCTAGAAGAGGCTGTGACAATGGTTTGTAGCATTTTTGAGGATTTCCCTCTAATAGGTGTTTCTACAACTTAATCTGAGCCTTCATTTAATTTAGATTGAAAAGAATCACTATTTGGCCTTAGTTTAAAATTATTTTTCTGCACATATTTGCTTAGACTTGGACATCATGAAAAGTAACGTATCCTAACTATGAGATCCTTATATAGACAACAAGTTTCCGTAGTCCAAAATAGAGTATAAGGATTTCGTAGTTTTCCAACCAACCTTTATGAACATTCTTGAGCTTTCGGTTTTGATAGGTTGCCATGCAAGAAAAAGACGTTGAGTTGTCACGAAAATCAGATTTTTTCAAATATTAGCTTTTCTTTTTCTTACGCTTTGTTTGATTTTTCAACTGCTTTGAAAAAAGGACTACTTCCTATATTCTTTCTACTTCCGTTCAGCAAACACGAGGTGCTATTTTATTTCCTTATTTACGTACAAGCTGACGTTTCGGCGGATTTCGTCTTCCCAGAACCTGGAAAGGTCAAGTTGACAGCAACCTATTCGACCTCCATAACCAAGCAGAAAAAACGCTATACCAAGATTTCAATCACATTTAACACAGCTCTGCACACACCGCTTTCTATGAGTCTTCCATTGAGTATGTCATGTGAAAACCGACCGCACGGAATTCACATGGAAGTGTAATGTGCCCCTCCCGTCAGAATAACAGGTTTATATAGTGTCCAATATCACGCGTGATAATGAGGCATTCCTCCCTACGGTTCATTTTCGGATTCTTGGAATTAATCCAGAACGTCTCGAGAGTTTTGCGCGCTTGTGTTCTCGATTCTTGCGCGAGGTTCGTAACCTTTACTTCAAAATCTCCGCTATGCCTCTGCGTCCTATGCGTGCCTAGAGGAACATTTGGCTTACGTTTGCCGACTAGGTGTTTTTTTATACGTATGCAGAGTGGTCTACCCGTTTCGCTAACGTATTCGTCCCCGCACGCTTTACAGATCAGATAGACTGTACCCGAACTCATGCAGTCACCGTCTCTACCATTGGGGCAAATTTTGCAATTCTGCGTTGCACATAGACGGTCGTATAGGCGGTTACGAACTAGCTGGCGCCTTAGATTACTCGGTGGTATTTCGATTATCGTTACCGAATTCTCTAAACTGGCCCTTCTTAAACAGCGTTTTATAGCTGCACTTACTTCATTTGAAATGAAAAGCAGTATAAACGGGACTTCTCTATCGCTAAAGTTGTTGTTTGGGAGCCTAGGATTTCCCCTACACCTATTCCGAGCTACAGTTTCGTAGCCATTAGAAATGACTATTTGCCGTTCAGGGACTATAAGTATAAGTTCAGGGACTCCTCTCTCTGCTGTCTTTCTGTGCACACGCTGGTAGCTGTTCGATACATGTTTCTCACAAGCGAACTTTTCGTGTGAGAGGGGTTAGAGGAGCGGTGCTCTTGGTTCATTACCAGAGAGAGGAGTCCCTAAACTTGGCGCGACAAATAGCCATTTTTAATGGCTACGAAACTGTAGCTCGAGATAGGTGTAGAGGAAACCACAGGTACCCCAACGATAAATCTATCGACAACAAGGTTCCGTTTATACTGCTCTTTATTTCAAATAAAGTAAGTACAGCTATAAAACGCTGTTTAAGAAGGGCCAGTCCAGAAAATTCGGTAACGATAATAGAAATACCACCGAGTAATCTAAGGCGCCAGCTAGTTCGTAACCGCCTATACGACCGTCTATGTGCAACGCAGAATTGCAAAATTTGCCCCAATGGTAGAGACGGTGACTGCATGAGTTCGGGTACAGTCTATGTGTTCCCTTGTAAAGCGTGAGGGAACGAATACGTTGGCGAAACGGGTAGACCACTCTGCATACGTATAAAAAAACACCTAGTCGGCAAACGTAAGCCCTATTTCAAAGATCCTTAACACCGTAGTGGAGCGAATTTGCAGAGTTCCGTTCGTTCTAATCGGAACCCAAATCGACAAACGGCTATCAATGTGTGTTGAGAATTATGGATCTGGAGAGACGAAATACCTTCCGGTGCCACTAAACCAAGCTGAATCGTTTGCGAAACGAATTGGAGCTAGCGAATACCTAGAATGTTCTGAAGTTACCGGAGTAAGTGGTAGTTCTTCATTGAGTTTTTCTAGAAATTTACAGAAAGAAATTCTTTTAATATAAAAAAGTCTTTTGCCAAAGATAGAGGTTTATTGCCTCTGGTTAGTTTCATATGCTCAAGGAGTTTTTCTATGCAATAACCTAAGGATCAGACCAAGAAAAACCTTTACTAATACAGAACTTGTTAATGGTTGGTATTGGGATGAATGATAATGCTAGTTAACTTTTTTATTTACTTTGCTGCCTAATATAATTTTTCACAGCAGGGTGTTATGTGAAGTACAACCACAACGATGCTGAGATATTTGCAAAACTCCAGATGGTAGCTGTCTGTTATAGTGTTAGTGCTTATTCATACGTTGAAACACTTCATCAGCCAATGAGGACGATTCTATTCTACAATACGATTTTTACTCGCTTTGAAAATAGAATGTATTAGACGTAAAATCGGCGTCCTATTGTTATCTTCATGGATCAGGTTTCAGGTAGGGCTTGATGATGTGTTTGAGAGCGCTTTTGAAATCGGTCACAACTATGCGCTGGAACGAATACGAGGTCTTCGTCGAAAAATTTCACATCCACGGTAGGTGGAGACCAAAAAGCCGAGTTGCGTCACACAGTAAACGATTCTGGTACGACGAGTTTCCTCGCTCAACAAGTCGTGTGGAAACTTTTGTTCCAAAGAAATCCGCAATTCGGGAATCATTTCTGAATTTTTGCATGATCATTGTTTTTGTGTAACACGTAGTAATCGTTAGATGAGCGATATCTAATTTTTCCAATTTTTTGTATTAAATTCTTAGGCACTCTGGATTAATTCTAGAAATCCGAAAATGAACCGCAGGGAAGAATGCCTCATTATCACGCGTGATATAGGGCAGTATATAAAACTGCTTTTCTGATGTGAGAGGCACATTATACTTCCATGTGATTTCTGTGCGGTTGGTCTCTACGTGACATACTTAGTGGAAACCTCATAGGAAGCGGTGAGTTTGCAAAGCTGTGTTCAAAGTGATTGAAATCTTGGTTTAGAGTTTCTTTGTTTGGTTATGGAGGCGTCTGGCCGAGTAGATTGCTATCAACTTGACCTTTCCAGGCTCTGAGGAAGGCGAAATCCGCCGAAACGTCAGCTCATTCGTGAATAAAGAATAATAACACCTCGCGTTTGCTCAACAAAAATACGAAGTAAATTCTTAGAATAATATTTTTAAGAACACTTCGATGGAATTCGCTAGGACTTGTAACTCTTTGGGTCGTATCACTGAGTTTTTTATTATTGAAATTTACTTCCTCCTTAGATAATGACGGTGACTTGAACCGTAATAAAATTGCTATTATTGTCGCAATCTTATTTATATTATTGGCTTTTTTGCTGTGGAAATTGTATTTGGTCTAATGTTTGGATGTGGATTTCATTCCTCCTCACCAACTAATCTCAGTTAGTTTTGATTCGTCACCTTTTTGGCTCAGAATTGATAAAAGGTGATGTGGTACACTCCAAATGTTTCAGCGCTCACTTATTCTTCCCATGACCACCAGTTTACTTCATCGGCATCCGTATTAGCGCTCAAAGTCTGTTATGAATTCATTACCATTCATATGGTACGAAAACGGCAGCCGATTTCAACTTTTAACCACCACCTCTTAGCCTATCGCAAAAATGCTACCTGTACTGCGCTGGGACTTTTAAGAAATTGGACTTTCCTATCCGTTCTTCCTCAAATTTAGTTCTAAGCCGTTTTGCAGGTAAAGTAACATTTTATTGGATAATAAGGTCAACACTGAATTGTTATTAAAGTTTAAACCGGATAAACCATAGGCGCTTTGTTTTCAGAGTAGTGAAGATCCCATACAAGTGTCCGCTGCAGTCATTTTTTTTGGCATGTAGATCCTCCAAGTTCACCAAACCAAACCCAGCTCAGCAGAACATCATTTGAATAAAGTGACCTCATTCATCAGTACCCTTTTGTATGAGGTCGATGTTTCTTCGCATCGTGACAACTGTTTGTAAAAGCAGTCCATAAAGTCTAGACAACGAACTAAACATTAACAAAGTAAAGTTTTTGGCGTTGATCAATCCTTGAGGGATGCGCCATGCATTCGCCCGGATTAAGAATCGTTTGGAGGTGATTGAATGCATATTTGGTCTTTACAACGACTCGCGGTGGCCTACCGATGTACTGAGCCATTGCTGCTATCTTCCTAGACCACTCTGGCAGCAATTCGCCGACCCCGCAGGAATGGAAGGCTTGGTGGGTCATGCGCGCAGAGATCGATTCCACATGTGTGTGGCAGTGGCGCCTCCAACAGCCGCGTTACACACACCCTAACTAAACTCGCTAAGTAGTGTTAAACCAAAGTGGCTTTGTTGACTGCACTCAAGTAAAGTCATGGATGAAACGGTATAAAGAAGGCGAAGGCACGGAGTCGTTAGTGGAATAAATTTTACAACAGCCTTTTATAAGCTTAGTAACGTAAGGGAGTATTGATTATTCATGTGGAAGTATAACGGTAGGTAACGGCGGATCCCTCTCATATAAGGGATTTCAAGCCGATTAGTCGCAAGGCTACGTGGCCCATTCCTAAGTGGCGGTTGGAAGGCTAATCGCGGACCAGAAGCGACGTTTGCTTTCCTGAGAGAAGCTGCTAAAACCTCAGGGCCATTTTAAACTACCTAAAGCTCAAAGAACTAAAGTGACGATCTGTAACTACAATGCAAGTACACTTGCATCCGAGTTCTCGATACAAGACTTGCTCATGCAAGCAAGATGAATAAGACACAACATCATCGGCCTGCCCGGGGCGAGAAGACGCCAGCCTTTCAACGCAGTCAATGATACTGGAGAAGAACTGACCCTCGGAACACAAGACAGAAGAGTCGGTAGCGTCGGCAATCCCGCCAACACGAGTTTGGCCATAGAAATTGATTCATTCGAACAATTAGTAGCCCAAGTCGGACGTTTAGGATTGAGGTGATGTAGATCAGTACCATATTTGCTAATATTCATCGTTTTGGTGCCGACATCAAAACATGATGAAAAAGAAGTCTAAGTGTTCTATATGGACTTGGAAAAGCTCTACAGAGAAGACCACACATTTTTCGAGATTATCATTGGAGATTTCAGCGCTAAGCTCGAACCTAGAAGAAGGTCTCAAGAAAGTCACATTAGGACCCAAGGATTAGGATAGAACGAGCAGGGTAAGCAGCTGTCCTAGTTTATCATGACGACCAAGAGGACCCATGGCAGCTGGCATTTCCAGGAGCACAATCCTCATCGATGGAGGTGGGAGTCCTCCAGCGGAGAGTACCATAACGAAATAGACCACAGCATAGTAAATCGACCGTTTTGTTCAACCGATCTCACTGTTGTCACAGAATTCTATGCAGAAACAGGCCATCGATTACTTCGTGCAAGATTTCATTTCTCGCGGAAGGGAGAAAAAGACGCTATATTCGGAAAATAAAGTCCGAAATCCACCACAAACAAGGATTTATTCAGTTCATTAGTCGGCTGCTGGGAAGATGCCTCTCTCAATAATATTGACGAGCAATACGACCGACTCATTCAACATCTTCGCGTTAGCTCAATGAAACGTAGAAGTTGGAAAGTCACCAAAAGACGTCTGTCTACAGAAGCACCTGATGCACCAGAGTAGAATCACAGAGCTGTAGGCAATCGCCAACTAACGTCCGAACTTGCGAAAGAATGAAGGCAGACGACAGAAGAAGATCTTAAACAGAGAAGAGCAGCAATCATAATCGAAGTTACAAAGGCAGGAAAAAGCATTCTCAAAGCCCATCGAAGTTTCGCCAATTAAAAACCCGCTACAAAGTCCAGGAATGCAATGCAAAAACTCATTTACGATCACTACTCGAATATCTTCAACGGCCATGTCGGCCTGCCCTCATATGAAATAAAGGAGGACGAAATCGCTGCACCAGCAACCCTCCTTCCGAAATGCGACATGCTGTTGCGTCGGTGAAAAATCGAGCAGAGTCAGGTACGGACAGGATAACATCTGAACACCTGAAGAAGCTTCCACCAGCCCTCGAAAGCGCACAGGCTCGGCTCTTTACAGGTTATATGCCTCAATGCAAAGTTCCTACTCATTGGAAGACCAACAAGACCGTGCCATTGTTCAAGAAGTGTAAATTCCACGACGTTAGCAACTACCGCCCAATTTGCTTGCTGTGTATCGTCTACAAACCTTTCACTTGAGTCGTCCTAAACAGGATTGACAGAAAACTGGGCGAAGGGCAGCCATATGAGCAAGCAGGGTTTCGAGAAGGATTTACTACGATGGCCCACATCCACACGATAGCAAGACTTATTGAAGTGCCGCAAGAGTACATAAAGACCGCACTGTCTCACTTCCATCGATTTAAGGAAGGTCCTTGACTCTGAGATAGAAGCAGTTATGGAAGCTCTTGATAGTCAGGAAGTCCCTACTCGGTATATGAATATTCTTCGTGAGCTGTACAAAAATTTCACAATCAAGATATCACCATTCTACAACGATATTAACATCTCCGCTAAAAGAGGGGTTAGGCAAGGTGATACCATCTCGCAAAAATTCTCGCCATCTCACCACTGGTTGCGGCTCATCCAATGTTCTTCATATGCGCGGGACGATAAACTTCGTGAAGAGCTTGTGAAGCACGCTCAAAAAGCAAATCGGACGACAGTTATAAAGATCCTTCCGTACACGGTTCTCGCGCATTATGACCGTGTGCGACACCTTTCACTGAAATGGGATTTTTTGCTTGTGAAGGTAAGCTGTCATATGGTTTACAAGAAGTACATGTAAAATTGACGCCTCCAGCTCTAGGGAAACTGGCGGTAATATTATTGCGTGCTGGAGCTGTGCCTGTTTTCAAACTTTCCATCGCAACTCGAACCTACGTTGGATGAATTTCATGTTGTTTTTCTCCAACAAGGATATTAGTGTCCTGGTTGGGGATTATGGAGCGGATAATGTTGGTGTAGAAAGTTTCCGCATTAATCTCATATCATGGCGAAAATTTTTAACGATCCAATCTTCAATGATGCTGGGATATTTGCAAAACTCGGAGCCGCAGATGTCTGCGGTGGGAAACGAACGCGCTACTGTCCTTTCTGAGGAGTAACGCGTTCACCACCACACCATGCGAGTCCTTCGTTTCGCCTGTCTCTCAGCTAGTTCTATCGATCTTTCGCCATCATCAATCACCCGTTACCGGGATTGATCTGGTGAGCTCAAATCAGCAATGAACCCAGTTAGGCTGAGGCTTTAGTTTTATAATCACAAATCGATAGAAATAGCTGAGAGACAGGCGAAACGAAGGACTCGCATGGTGTGGTGGTGAACGCGTTACTCCCCGGAAACGACAATAGCGCGTTCGTTCACCACAGCAGACACCTGCAGACCGGAGATTTGCAAATATCTCAGCATCATTGAAGTTATATTTCGCAATATACCCTGCCATTAAAGAAGAGTAGGCAGTAAATAATAAATTGAAATTGATCCCATCTTCGTTCATCAGGACTGACTGCGGAAACTGTAGTCACACCAATCCTAACGACATTTTTTCAAACTACTTCTCTAT